TCCCTACAACTCCAGCAGCCTCACGAAATCATCACTTAGTGATCCCAGCAAAAAGTTTCAAAATGTCAATTGAGTTTCAATGGTCAATTGACCACGGATGTCAATTTGCTCATTTACATTTTTTGTTTGTTTGTTTTTCTCTAGAGAGACCCAAAATCTATGAAAAGGAAACTGATTTCGATAAGATTGAGAAGGTGGAATTAAGAAGCAAACACAAAATCCAGTGCACCGTAAGTGGGAACCCTGACCCGAAGATCGAGTGGAAGTGGCAGCCCTGCAGCCTCACAGACACGCTGTAAGTGGACATTCCTACAGATGAACGTGTTGCAAACCAGTTTGGTAGTTTCAAGTCAGTTTTTCTTTCCAGCACATCTTATTTACCTTCGTTAAAAACCACAAGCAGTGATTCCCCACCTAAATATCTCAAGGGTTATGAACCCAGCAGACATCTAGTTGCGTACGATCTTCTGGGAGTTACGAGCACCTTCTGTATCATCAGAATTGTGTCAAATAAGTTTAAAGTGACTGAAGAACAGGCTTGAATTTTCTTTAACTTGACCAGCAACGTCCCTCTGACTTACCAAGATCTTTTCTTACACCTCTTGGATGCAGCCTACATGGTTGACACAGAAAAAGCAGATAGGTGCTTTCTGTGGAGAGGTAACACTTTTTTCCCCGTAAGAGCTATTGTCAGACAAACCTGCTAAATCTTGGCTTCATTTAGATGCCATATGGAATTTGTGCCACTTCCTAAGGGTTGTCTTCACTAGTGCACGCTGAGCGTGGGCTCCTGGAGCAGCATCTGCGTTGCAGAAGCTGGAAAAGGTAGCCAAGCCTTCACGCCTTACTGAGGACCCTTTGCTAAAGTTGGGAGGCAGCCCGAGGTGTGAAGACACAGAAGCGAGTCACTGGGTCAAAACTGTCAGGAATGAGGCAAGTTAAAAGCTTTTCCAGATTCTCCTTATACAAGTAGACATTTTTTTTGCTCCTGCTGTTACATAAGCAGAGTCATCTATAGAGGTCTTGGCTGAGGTCTGAATGCTTGCCCTGGTAGCCCCAGGGGACATGTATAGCAATTCTCACCCCACTTCAGCTCCTCCCTGCAATGAGAGGGCTGAAGTTAGGTTTTCCATCCATAAAAAAAAATGAAGGCAGGTCTAGGAAGCAAAAGAGAAAATTGCTGGATGGTTCCTTATCTTCTCCCCATTTCAATTTTTTCCCAAATGTTGTCAATGGCAAGCCATGAGACAGGGGAACATCACAAAGAGGAGCTCCTTTCCCAGGTTCCCTGCTGCAGCAGTTGCAGTGGTGTTGAGTGATCTAGTCTCAGGTCAGGTCTAAAATGTGACCTTGTGTCCCTCCACAAGGGAAACAGCCCGTTCCCACTGCTCCTGCAGGAATAAACCAGCAGAGATTTGTAGGCTTAGGTAGGGCTGTTGGCATCGCGGGTCAGCAGAAGGCACGCAAGCTGCTGCCTCAGAGGTGTTGAACAAGAGTGGAATGGAGCCACCACAGGGAAGCAGGTTATGCATGCTGTAGGAAAGCCACCGAGATGACCTGAAATCTTTTCCAGGCCTTTCTGTCTAGGCAGAGGGAATTGGTCATGAATGCCAAATCAAGCCAGATTCAAACCAGTGACCTGGTGGCAAAAGACCTCACATAACCCCGGCTCCAGCTCTCTGACTCTGATCTTATCAATTTAAATACAATTGCAGAGTGGCTCTACCTCTTCTGGTCTCCAGGGCAGCCTTATCTTTTTCCAGCAGAAGCTGTAGGAGGATTCCTGTGGGAAATGACACAGACCCCGTTTCCTTCTGTTGTCTCACTTCCTCTCTCTCCCTCTCTCTCTCCCCTCCTCACTAGTGCACTTTGAATCCCAAAACACCATCATTGTTCCTTATAGCTGTGATGTGATTTGCTTCCTTTGAGTTTTTTCCCTTCATCCTCAAGACAGAACTGTGCCTTGCAGGAAATCACTCAAGACATCTTCTAATTAGGCTCTTTTGAGAGCTACAAACCCTCCCTTGACCCCGGGTGTTACCCATGCATCTTGTGCGGGTTTGGCAAAGGCACGGTTGATTTATGGATTCGTTTTCTACAGCATCAGCTCTGGGTCATCACCTTTAGAAGTCGATATTCTTTTTACCTCCTATAATTCTAATTTACTACGGCGGGCTCAGAGGCCGCTGGGACCGGCCACGGGAAGTGCGGCGGCTCCGCTGAGGCAGAGGAGGCAATAAGGACACTTCCCTGTTGCACATGGGGATGACTTGTGCAAGGCACAACTGCAGCTGGCTGTGGGACTGAACTCCCAGCCATGCTGGTCTGGAGCTGAACCAGCAGCTTTGAAACGAAAGGCTTCCTCAAGTGGCACGGCTGGCAGTGCCCTCAGCCAGGATTCCTGCAGCTCCAGCCTTGCTGGAGCCTTTGTGCTCCTAAGCATGAGAGCTGGGTCTCTGCTCGTTTATTCCAAGGGCTGTAGATGAAGAAGACAGAAAAGCCTTTTGCCTTTTGATGGTGCAGATACACCTTTTCGCATGACATGCTACACAGACTACTCTTTGTCCATAATTTAAAAATGACATGAGATATGGCTATCTTCTGGGGAATGTGCAATGCTAAAGGAGCCTTCTGCTGTCGTTATCCCAATATTTATCCATTCTGCATGTCATGTCAGAAAGCTGAGCAGACAGAGACACGCTCAGCAACATTCACCTGCCCCCAGTTTCAAGAGACTGGCATTTTGAATTTTGAAATGCGTTGCAAGTGCTAGAAGAGCACTTAAAAAACCACAGCTGCATTGAGTTGGAGTATAACTCATATCGGCCAGATTAAACTCACATGATTTAATTAGTTGCCCAGTATTTTCTGTTTTCAATCTTCACAAACTTTGGAGGGTTTCCTTGCTGGTCATACCCTGATCTTTGTCTACCTTTGTCAAAGCACTTCGTAAATAATTCTGAAATGTTGCGATGAAGGAATATCTCACAAAGGGATAACAATCTCCAGCAGCAATAGCTTTTGGTAGTTTTTAAGGCCTAAGACTATTGTCTAAGAATGACATTTAATAATCTTTAATAAAGCCTCCCTGGGTTATCTGCAGCGAGTTGGGTTCTTGACCACCACCTTTGCTTTTCTACTTCCAGATGCAACCCTGATGGGCAAAAAATTGTGGTCCAGGAGAACACGTTCATAGGCAACAAGATCAGAAGCATTGAAAACGTAACCATGAAGCATGGGGATAAAAGAAAGGTATGTGTCTGGTGGAAATCTGAGCAATGATGTCATGGAATAGCAATGGGCTTTGTGGAGGCGACGCTGTGCTCACATGGAGATCTCTCCCTGCAGTTCCCAAGCTGCCACGGGTTGTTAGCATGCTTCAGATTCCACAGCCCTGGGATCATTTGCAGCTCTCTGCTGTTTATAAACGCTGGGATTCTGGCAATGATGTCACATACCCGGTTTAAAACTCTTCAAAGAATTTTGGGTCAAAAACCTCTCTGCCTCCCTCGGTCTTGAGAAAGTGTAAGGCTAGTTCAGTGCAAGAGGGTCCTGTGAAGTGTCTACAACTGATAAGGGCTCTAAATTCATTAAAATGCTTGGCACTTAGCGAGCCCTTTGTACTGCCCAACCTTGCCTACTCTAAGGTAGGAGCAGTTAAACAGCTGCGTAACTTAGGAGGCTCACGGTGGCCAGAGAGAGCTGGTCTGATGTTCAGAGTGTGTGAGTGTCTGCAGGACCTGCCTGTTTCAGCTGGAGTTCTCAACATTTCTTTACGCATTTGGGTTGCCAACCATGTTACTGACCCAATGAAGGTAGGAAGACCTCCTTCCTTCTACACTTCCCTGCCTGCTTTCCCTTCCAAACAGCACTGGGAGCACACTTTCTGCATGAACTGAAAAGATCCCAGCTATGGATTATCTGTTAAAACACCTCCCAGGTACCTGGGATGATACCAAGTGATGCTGTTCACACACGTCCATGCTAATCCTGGAGAAATTGCTGCAGCTCTTCTGCCCTAGATTCACAGACTTCTGGCTATGCCTTGGAGAAGATGTTGTGCTCTGGCTCAGTTGTTTCATATCTGTTGGACTTGGAGAGGCTTGTAGCTTTAGGAGTGGTTTCGCAGCTACAGGTTTCGAGGTGGATACTCCAGATAGTTCAGTGCCTAATCCTGCAAGGTGCTGAGTGCTGCAGTTCGTATCCTGGTGTATCTTTACGTAGATGATAATTTTTGGGCTACTCCTAAGCTTAAAGTTAAGCACAAAGCTAAAGTGCTCTTCTGGATTTGGTCCAGACTAAATCAGCATCTGGCAGGATCAGGGCCTTAGCCATCTGCTCTTTCTCATGGAGACTTTCCAGCTCCAAACATAATCTAAAACAGAGCTCTGAAAACATGGAGGTTGGGCTGGGAAGGAGAAAATCAGTGTTTGCATTTCATTCCTGAGTTTTCCCCTTGCTGGAAGATATTTATAAATTGGATATATTCAGATGGCATAGTGCCCCTTAAGCTCTGTTTTTAATTTATTCTCTAAGAATTTTAGACCTTAGGTAAATGCAACTACCTTATGAGTTCTAATTGTAAAAAATGGAGGTCGGTGACATGTACTTACAAAGTTTCTTCCTTTTCCAAGATTTTCTGGTTGCTGCATGGACTGACCAGAGTTTTGGAGCTCTCATGGCCACTGTTTCCGTATATACAGTCTGTCTAAATACAGGATCTGGTGTCCAAGAGCTTAGTTTATGTCTGATGATCAGTCTAACAGCTACGTTAGTCCCCATGTAAAAGTGAAGGGTTTCACAATTGCTGCGACTCACAAAATATCCGTTGGTTGCTAAATTGTCCCCCATGCTGGGACAGTGAGACGCCTCTACAACACAAAATCAGAAACATTTTTCTGTGTTTTATGCATATGTGCACCACTCCCATTTCTTTTTTTACCAATTTTGCTGCGGCAGATATGAAACAGGGTGAAATATTAGTTGGTTAGTGGATTTAAGATGGGATTTGGCTGCAGACTCTGAATAAGATGTTTTAGGAGTGCCACAGAGCTCCTGGATCCAGTGGGACACTCCAAACACATCCTCTGTCAATGCTGGTGCATGATTAGGGACTTCCTAGCTTTCCCCTACCACCTAATCTCCCCAGAAAGGAAAGGTGCAGCAATCTCCAAGTACAACAATCAGAGAAGAGCTAGTGCTCCACTCCCACAGAGGACACCATAGCACCTACCCACAGCTCAGTCCTGACGGCACCAGCTGCCCGAATTTCCTGCCCGTAAAACGTGGCGGACACTAGAGCGCGAGGAGAAGGGAGGCACAGCTGGGGAGATGCTTAGTGGGAATGAGGGCTGCAAGGGAACATCAGTACAAGGACTCAAAAGGACTCCTCAAAAGGACTCCTCTTGTTCCCCAGGAGCTTTGCTGCTGCTCACAACTGCAGAACCACCAACAGCCCCGAGGCTGCCCCTCCTCTGCCCTGCACAGCCATCTCTGCTCTTTCTGTAGACTCCAGGCATCCTGAAGTGTTCGCTTCCCAGCCATGTTCAAAAGCTCAGCCCACGACCCTTTAACTTCAGCTTTTACATATTTCATTACTAAAGTTTCATAAAAATACTTCTTTACAAGTTACATAATTCTACAATTTTTAGCATATTCATTATTTTAATCTCCTCCTGATCCACTGGTTGAAAACGCGTTCTGAGGTGTTTCCTAATAATTTTTACGTCCTGATTAAGATTTACTCAAATTCATAAAACTAGATTTTATGAATCTCAGGTTTCAGCACTTTGTCTCCCTGCTTACATTAGCAGACAATTCCTCTCCTTCTCCCTTTCAGAAGTCCAAGGCTATCTGTGTGGAGTCTTTAGATAATAGAATATAATTCAAAAAAAGACACTGATGAAAACTCATAGCCTTCAGACTTTTTCTTGTTTTTTATCAGTCATTATTCCCACCAGAAATTGAATAGACAGGAAACAGCCCAAGCCATTCCCACCATGTCCTAGCAAGTCATTCATCTGCATTGAGTAGCCAGATGAAATAATAAAGATGTTGGAGTCTGACTGAGCGTGGCTTTTACTGACTGTGTTATGAAACTGGGATTAGCTGAGACTGGTTATTTTTCCTGTGTGATTTGAGGCTGTCCAATGATAGCTAGAGTCTCAGAGCAGAAGGTAGAATTTACCTGGTCTTTAAGATTTCTCAGCATCCCTAGAGTTCACCCTCAAAGAACCGTAGCAGTACACGCTGCTTCAGCGACATACAAAAAAAATGCATTAACTTTTTAGAGCTGCTAAGAATATGGGAAGAAAAACCCAGGAAATTACCAGATGCAGAATCTTGCTCAAAAGCTAGCTGGCAGGGCAGCAAGCAAGGATTTTTCCAGCAGACCGCTGATGCTTGATGTGATCTTTGATCATATCGAGATCTTCAGACATCTATTTGACAAGAGTGGGATGTAAAATCGAGGTCTCTTGTCATCTTTGTCACAGTGATTATTCCATTATTATTCCACAGATAGAGAAGCGAATTCCTCCCTCTCCTGTCTTCTAAAGGCTGAGTCTCACTCTTAAAAAAAAAAAGCATGTGGTTAATGTTATGATGTAATTCACTGAAGTTCTGGTCAAACAGTGGTTGAGGCAATTGCATCGTGACAGTTTAATTTTCCCGGTGGTTTCGAGTCAATATTGAACTTTTCACTTTGTGATTTAAACGACTGTGCAGCTGCCTCCAAAGGCTGCTTTTTAACACCAGGTGAAACATCCGTGATTGCGTGAACCGCCCGAATTTCCTCTTCGAGCTGCAAGCAGCTAGGTTGCTATTTTATTCCCTTCCCTGTGAGTAAACTGAACATACCGGTCTGAGCTTGGGAGAACAGGTCACAGCAGAAAAGAACAGCTAGATCCATACTTAATTCAGTCCTCCTTGGGGTTTTCTTTTAATCTCTTTTCTCCCTTTCATGTACACATGAGAGAGTGGCCTGGCCTTGGGGATGTTTCTCCAATGAAACTCATGCATCTCTCTTGCTGGTGAAATTCATAACCACTCAAGAAAATTGACCCAAAACTGCCAGGTTTAAACCTCCTGAAGGAACAAAAAGACTACATTAGAGCAGTGGGATGTGTTTGGTGAAAAATATGTGAACAACTCAGTAGGGCTGTTGAAATTCGTCCCCCTATGTGGGTGCCCTACTCAGTGAGCTCCCACAAGCCCTGCCACGTTGGTCTCTGGCAGGGGAAGGTGAACAGTCACGCAGTTGGGTTTTTGAACAAAGCGTCCGCTCTCTGGGAGACCAGCCCAGATGTTTCAGGCACTACACAAGCACTGGAGCACATGGACTATACAGGTCTTCTTGAGAGAGCCTGGCTAGCAGCAGGCACTAAGAAATGGCCCTCTGTCTTCCCTGTCCTCTTAAACTCCTTAGCTGCAACCAGTGGGTGCAGGAAGAAGCATGGAGATGGTAATTACTCATGACTAGCCAGCACCCACCCACCTGCCCCAGGGCCAGAAAGCGATGGGTCCATCCATACTGGAAATGTAGACCAGTTCCTCCAGAGGCACCTCAAACCTCTGCTTTTCCCCAGCTTCCTGCCTTGCCCAGCATCTTTCCTGATCACACAGTACCACCCTCAGCTCTGCCATACTGCGAGGAACGCGATGGTTGAAGAGAGAAATGCCGACTGCCAGAGATGACAGCAACCCCTAGAAATTCTCAGTCAGCTCACAGACTTCTCTTACCACTTGTCCTCAGTCCATCCTTTAGCATGTTTTGAATGAATGAACTAAGATCACGGATCAGAATTGTCAGGCTATAAAAATAAGTGTTATTCTGTGCCATTCAAGTAGATGGATTGGGAGCCAGCTGAATATTTTCTTTGCGGGGTCTCTGGTGACGTTCCTATAATTTCATCTCCCTCTAGCCACCTCCACCCCAGCTCTGCCAGAGTTAGACAGCTGACAAGTTTTCCACCCACTTTTTCTACTCCTCATCCTCGCCCACATACAGCTAACGAAGTGAAAGAGAGAAGAATTGTTAACTAAAGCCGTCGGAGAGAGGGCTTAGACAAAGGAAAGAGAAAGCAAGGAATAACAAGACATATTAATTCATGCTGGCTCCAGCTTAAAAAAAGGTCTTGCTGCTCTGTCCTTACTACAAGATGTCTTAAAACACTCACAGTACATGGCTGTGGAATGTTATTTGGCTGCTTCTAAAATAGCTTGTTTTTATCAGTCGGAGAACATTACAGTGCAAGACATATGGACTTTATTGAACCATTCCATTAGGAGTTTTCCCAGCAGCAATGTCTATTTACTTGTCATAGCTGTTCTTCAGAGATCAGTCATTTTATTTCTTTTCTTATTAAATTTTAAACTTAGTTTATTCTTTTATAGTATTTATTTATTAGCTAATAATCCCTTCTTTGGGCTGGCAGTATTGGGTGGCCTTTAGGTTAAGTGCTAGGAAATGGAGCCCTTGACTTCCAAATTCAACACAGGCAATCAAAACTGGTTTGAAGGATGTTTGGTGTTTGGCATGCAGTGAACTCACAGGATCTCAGTCCAGCTCCCACTAGGAAGACGTCTAGACATTACATGCCAATAATTTGTTATTAATTACCATTGGTTCCAGTGTAGTCTGCAAGGAACTGAACCACTGGTGGCTTCCTAAATGTTTCTTTCCAGTCCCTTTTGGTAAAAGACAAAACTATGCGGTCTTAGAGAGAGAAGGAGGATTTGGATGCCCTTTGGTATAGCAGAGTGATGCTTTGGAACACACACGTGCTAGACCAAAGGGCATCCAAGTCCTTGATTTCAATGGGATATCCTTGACCTACAGATCCCTCGCCCGGGGAGGTGGTTGAGTCCCCATCCCTGGATGTGTTTAAGAATAGGGTGGATGATCTACTTAGCGATATGGTTTAATGGGGATTAGGGACGGTTGGACTCGATGATCTCTAAGGTCTTTTCCAACCTAGAAATCTATGAAATCTATGAAATCTTGAACCTGGATTAGGTTAGTTTGGCAACTGAGAACTTTATTTAAGATGTTGGAAAGATAATTGGGAGATCTACCCAGGAGCACACAGATAGAGTGAAAAGCTGATGCATAATGATTCCAAGGGATTCATCTTATTACAAGAAAATCACCCCAAATCCTTCATTTCCAGCTCTAAAATCACATCTATTTCTCTGCTGGATGCTGCTGGTTTGAAAGGCGCGTTTTGGAGGACTCTGGGAGGTGCTAGTTCTAAGACAAGACAGTAAAGTGCATTATCTCTTGTGCTCAGGTGTGTAGCAAACTGGTATCTGAGTGCATAACAGCGATTTTGAGCTTACGAACAAGAAAATTACTTTTTCTCTTTTCCTCCACAAATTTTCCCAAGAATTTGTCCCCAGATTGCTTCCCACCGTCATTTTAACACCTTTTCCACCTTCACATGTAGACACAATTGCAAATAGCTAAGACAAGGTGTCAGTATGGCTGTTTGCTCTTTTATTTTTTCCCACTACCACGTCAGACGTTTCTCGTGTTACGTAGTTAGGGACGTCAGCATCTCCGTGTGTGTTCATGAGCATCCGTGTGCGTTTACCTCCGGGCCACCAAATGCAGCTTGAGGCATTGCATCAGTTTTTAGCAGAGTCACAGGGTCACCCCTAGCAATTTGGACATATTCCAAAATGCATAATTAGGATTTTAACTGGCTCTACAGTATTATCCTTGACTTCCCATCTAGAGCTGTCACTTGGCAAGACTAATAGCTGCTAAATAGTTGTCCAAATTTATCCCCTTCTGTCCTCAGCACGTACATTTATATTGGGTTTTTCTATGCCCAAATATAAAATTCTAAGATCCAGTAATCATGAGGACAAGGATCTTGGTGCTGATTCAGCAGTAATTGAAAAGGCAGCGTCTGCTGCTCAAAGTCAGGGGTAGTGCTCTGCACATGTGCTTCTTACTGACCTGTGGCATTAGGCCCACTGCTACAGGAACAGAAAAACGAGGAGGAGCAGACTGCTCCTCTGGGTGATTTTACATCCAAGTTTGAGCTGTTTTCACATCATAAATAAATCAGAACTGCATAGCTCTTTCTTTGGTGGACACCAGAGGGAGCTGGGTTTACTGGTCTCCTGTTTTCACCCCTAAATTTGGTTTGTCCCTATTCTTGGTTAATTCCTGTGTTTGGTGCCCGGGAAAAGTAGATACTTTTCCACTTACTCATTATACTGCTGAAAATGTTCCCCGTTACAAGGTAAAATGCACATTGGATCAAAACCTTTGAAACTTTTCCCTACAGGATTTGAAGTGCCAAAGCTCAGAAAATCTCAACCAACTCTCCGAAAACACATCCCGCACAGCTATAGACACATTCATGGGGCAGCTTTATGAGGAGTAAAGGAATGTCTTGCGTGAGTTTAGTTTAGGATATTAAAAAGAAAGGCCAGGGATGGTTTTATGCACTCCAAAGTGCTCTCTGGAGATAAGGACAAAGGGCCAGAGGGTGTTATAAGTTTTGATTCTCAAAGTCCTTAGAGAGGACGGCAAAGAAAGTGGTTATTTGTTCCAAATGTGAGGGCTCAGAGTTCCTCAGGTGAATGGCTGCAGGGGAAGCAAAGTAATCTTGGAAGAACATCTCTGTCCTGGTGGGTTAGACCCTGCTTTCTTGCTAGCAGCCCAAAGGAAGTACTAGAAGTCATTAAAGTCATGACTTGTGGATAGTCCTCCACGAACTTGTGATGTGGCATCATGACAGGGCAGTGCCCTACAGCTGGCTCTGCGATAAGAAGACCCGATACAGAAGCAGGGGCTTAGGATGTTTGAGGAACACAAGTTCTTAAGGACGTGTTTGAATTCAGCCCCATGAGTAACTGAACCACTTCCTTTTTCTACGTGGTGAAGCTCAGGACAAGCGTTCCTTCCTTCTCCTTCACGATCCTCCTTTTCTTTCTGCACTTGCCAAGTGTCTTAGCACAGGTGGCTTCTCCAGAGCTTCCTTACGTACCACACAGCTCTGGCAAGGCTCTGAGGAAGGGTTATGGAACGAAGGGGCTTCCAAGCACAATTCACAAGAGTGAGCTGGGGCCCAAAGGGGCCACATCCCTCCCTTCTCTGGGGCTATGGCAAAGCAAAGCGAAACCCTACAATATCCTTTATACCCCATCCACGTGGATGACCTGCTTCCCGTGCAAACGTGGGTGTCCTGTCACCCATGGAAACCATAACTGAAAAGCAGAAAAGAAAATAAAAGGATGTGGAACTGTATTCACTGTGTCTTAGATGAATGTTCCAGGTCCTTCTCTTCAGCTTTTTGCTGATGTTGTCACACAAAGACCTCGGCAGTGTGTCAAAGGAGAACCCTGTTTTTCACGGGGGAGACAGGAAGAAAAGAAGGGGAAAGTTTAGGAATGAGGAGGGAAGAGAATTAACCGGGCTGAAGCGACGTGAGGTGAGAGATCAGAGACCAAACTGAAGCACTCATCTGTTTCTGAGCTTCACTCGAAACTCCTTTGTTAACTGTTCTGCTGCCATACAGCACACAGCCGCTACTCTCGAGCCTGTCTGCTAAGCTGATACCACACTCCAAGCCTTTCCTTTTTTCCTCTTCGCTTGGCAGATTGTGAGCACACTGACCATGGAAAACAGCAGCGCATCGGGAATCTATTACTGTGTGGCTTCAAACAAGATGGGTGCAGAAGAGAGGAGCATTGAGTTCTACGTCTCAGGTAAGCAACACAAGAGACAACGGCACAAAACCGAGATGCTGATGATCTGCTTTACCTCGACGTTTTAGATGGCTGGTGAGTGCTCGTTAAAATTTCTGGGAATCCCTGCACGTCGTGTTTCCAGAGCGCTCCCGATCACGCAGTCCCGGCCTCCCCAGCACGTGCGAGGTTGGGTCCTGCGTCAGTGCACGGCCGAGTTTGACATGTCCAGCATCAGCCCTGATGCCCCGTTTGCCCTTTCCAAGCTGCAGATGCAGGCCCTGAGTCTGGCCGCCTGTGCCTCAAAGCAACACTCATGACATTTGAGCGCTGTCCTCATGAAACCTCCAGCAAAAGACTACTACTCCTTTGTAGTCTTCCGAAGGCCTGAAGCCTCTCCCTGATTCTCCTCTGCCGATGGGCAGAGGCTGTTCAGGAGGGCCAGTT